ATTTTTAGCCCTGCTGTTTGTTGCTTTAAAAAGTTCTTTCATGTCGGACTGTATCGTTATAGTTTTCCAAACTCCTTTTTTAGAGGAGCGTATTTTACTTCATTTTTCCGTGTGAACCATTTGGGTTATGTGTTGGAGGAATAGCCCTTGAAGTGATCCAGGTGCCCCCACGTCACTGCCATTTTTTATGTTAATGTCTCAGCTTGTTGGTTTTCAGTCCAGCTGTTACACTAAGGGTGCGGCCCTTCAAGGGTGCTCCGTTCCAACTCCCTGCCTCCTGTAGGCTAAAGGTAGTATCTCCTCTTTCCATGTGGACTTCAAAACACAAGCTATTAGGTTATGGAAACTGACAACTTTCTTAAAATACCTCAGTGTAGTTATTTCCCTTCTTGTTTCAGGCACTGGGTAATTAACACCAACCCCTCCTGCCCCTTTTTTTTCCTCTTCAGCTCAGCTGTATGTAGCAGAATTTCCTTCATTATCAGTCATTTCAGGTGTGGCCTATCCCATTGCTAGAGCCAGAAGTCAGTCTGCTTTCTGAAAACAGACAAGTCATTGGGTGATGCATAGTAGAGGCAGGACAAGCCAGTAAACTGACGAACCTGATGTAATTTGACAGATTGTACAAGTCAAATGGGTAGTGTGGGTCAGATCCACGGGGTTCCACGAGAGGCACGTAGCAAGATGGTAACAGATTAAATCTAAGGCGCTCTCAGGGTCAGAAGATCTCTGAGATGTGGTGTCAAGAATAGCCCAGAGTTGGGAAGGTCAGAGAAAGCAGCCTTCTTTACTAGAGGCTGCCCTGTTTCCGATTATGTATGGGAGCAAGCCGGATTTACAAGTATTCCCTGCAGGTATCCTTTGCTTATGTTTAAGGCCACAGTTCATGGCTGGGGTTCTGAAATATTTTCCATATGTCCAGTACCATTTCAGGCATTAGCTTTCAAACTTTCTAGGCGGAAGACTTCTTTAAAAAAGTTCTGTGAGCCCTTGACAATACTTGGAGGGTATAGCCTTCCTCCCCACCCACCACCCGTGGAAAGGGCAAGGCCCTTTTTGTACTTCTGTACTTGGTGGCCAGACGTCGTCTCTGCTGGTGGGCAGGGTGCATCAGAGCATCTGTGCGGCCGTACTTGGCTCGGCGTATTTTGATTTGTAGAAATATTCAAACGACAAAGCTATTGTCGACCAACCTCACATCTGAGTTATAGTACTTTCCTTTCCTCTTGCTTGCAGGATATTTCTCTCTGGATGTCTTTCCGTCAACTCACAGCAAACATCTCCCACACGGAACTCCTCATCTCCTACAGATACGCTTTTTCGTCCGCTTTTCCCTCCTTTTTTACATCTTGCTTTTTATTCACTCGGGTCTTTAGGTGCAAAACCTGTCCCTTCCCAATTCATCCTCCTAGTTCTTTGCGTTCTTTAATTCTCCATCTCACATTTAGTACTCCTCAGGTTCCAGGACCATGAGTCGTTAATAAGGACTGATAATCTGATATATACTTATTATCATGCGCGGTGAGTGGGGAAGGAGAATCAAAAGACATGATCATTGTCTTCACAGAACTTAATATCTACTTGAGGAGACAACTTACATTCACGAAAATAGTGAATAATACTAGACAGTATATAATTAAATGCTAAATTGGGTGGTACAGAGTTTTAAGAGTTGGAAGGTGGAGGAAAGGAAAGGGATAAAAGGAGGGCTTGAATTGTAAGAAACCTTAATTGTGGAACGGGGCTTTGAACTGGGTCTTGAAACACCTCAGTTGGAATCGGACAGGAGTTTAAAGTGAAGAGAAAGCATAGACAATTAGTACAATTAGTGAGCATGGGGTTTTTGGAAAACGTTTGAGGCTCTGTATGTGATAGGGACCAGTGAGAAATAGGAATTAGTTTGGGTGACTGCTTTGACTTTGGCTATGAGACTACCAGAAGAATCTTTCAAAAGTAGCATTTCAGTTTTTACCAGGGGAGGGGGGTGGCGACAGAGAGAGAATCTTTAAGCAGGCCCCACGTTCAGTGCAGAGCCTGATGCAGGGCTCGATCCCATGACCCTGGGCTCATGACCTGAGCTGAAATCAAGAGTTGGACATTCAGCCAACTGAGCCACCCAGGTGCCCCTGGCATTTTAATTTTGATTGTTCCCCAACTCAGAAACCCCTGGAGGATTCCTTTTCTTTTTTGATTCTGATTGAAACTGTTTTGGTATCCTAGGGACTCTCTGATGTGCCAGTCTTTCCGCACCGGTACTTTGGGCACTGGTTTTGTGTTTTGTGTTCTGACTTAATGGTTTCCACTTCCTCCAGGAGTGTCTGCCTGATTTCTGCCCATTCCTTCCTCAAGTCCCATCTCACAGCTTCCTGGCTCTCGATGTTCTCTCTGATGACCCCTACCCCCAGACAAAGCTTTACTCCCCGGTGCCTCCTGAAACTCTTTTGTGTTGAAGACAGTTTAGGTTCTAACCATACACCTTTTGTCTCCTGATAATTTTGAATTGCATACGTTTCTCTTCCTTTCCAATAGGGGCTAAGTTCTTTGAAATGTTCGATTGTGTTTTATATTCCATCGTTCCTCTTAGTACTTTATGCTTCTCTGTGGGGCTCGAACTCACAAACTTCGAGATCACAAACTGACGCTCAACCAACTGAGCCTCCAAGGTGCCCCCTTAGTATATGTTAATGGGATCCAAATTTGTAGTGGACCCCAAGCCAAAGACCACTTTTCTGCTCTTTCGTGGAAAGAAGAAAATAAGAGCAAAAGCGTCAACTCCAGCTGTTCTGAGATATTCTTCGCCGTCTCCTCTTTAAGCCTCTCCTTAATCTATGTCCTTAAGTATATTCATTTATCTTTGACATCTTTTCACTTACTACCTTATGTAGTTTTTCCTAAATAATGTATGTTTATAGATGGAGATAAATTGTGTGTTAATTGAAGCTTCAGAGAAGAGATGGGAGTATTTGAGAAAGATTAATCCTTGTTAAACTCTATCTAATTGATCTGTGTTGGCACTCTCCCTGCCTGAGTTTTAAAATTTTAATAAAATATCTGTACGTGAAGAAATCGTCTGTTGTAGTTGGGATCGAACTTAAGAGACATTTGAATATCCAGAAAACGAGATACTGAAATGAACGATACTGAAATGAACTAAGACCACTTGATTTAGAAAATTGGGTCAAGTTAAAAATAACATTTTTGTTGGGTGGTGGGGTGTTGTTGCTGTTGTTGTTTTGTTTTGTTTTTTTTTGTAAAGAGACTTCACGCCCAGCTCAGAGCCCATCGCAGGGCTTGAACTCACAGCCCTAAGATAAGACCAGAGCTGAGATCAATAGTCAGACACTTAACTGACTGAGCCACCCAGGCATCCCAGAGCTGTAGTTTTATTTTATCATTTAACAGTCTCTTAAAAAAATCTGTAGAGACTTTGAAAACCAAGGTTTAAAGTAATTTATCTACCAATCTGTCGATATATTTATATATATATATTTTAAAGTAAGCTCTGTGCCCAGCATGGGGCTTTAACTTATCACCCTGAGATCCAGAGTTGCTTGCTCTACTAACTGAGCCATCTAGGAACCCCAATTATTATTTTAAAGTTTATTTATGAATTAGGGAGAGAGAGAGAGAGAGAG